TAATCACACATGATGAACATTTATTAACATTTATCAACATGTTGAAGACGTTCAACTCCCATTTTTTCCCTCCGGTCATTGAGGCCTGGAGCATCCTACCGTGGCTTCGTTGGTGCAGGAGATTGGCCACTGGACGGCGCTGAAGTCAAGTTGATGTAGAAGAAGGGGTGCCGTTGCCGTTGGGGTGACAAATGGATGGTATATAATCATACGTACACATATATATATATATATACATACATATACACATATACATATACAATTTGCATTTACATATACATATACATATACACATACATACACATACACATACACATACCATACACATACCATACACATACCATACACATACACATACACATACACACATACACATACACATACACATACATATACATATACATACACACATACACATACACATACACATACACATACACATACACATACACAAACACAAACAAACAAACAAACAAACAAACAAACAAACACACACACAATCAATCAATCAATCAGTCAATCAATCAATCAATCAATCAATCAATCAAACAAACAAACAAACAAACACACACACACAAAAACAAACACACAATCAATCAAACAAACAAACAAACAAACAAACAGACAGACAGACAAACAGACAGACAAACATACATACATAGGTATATACATAGTTACATACATAGTTACATACATAGTTACATACATAGTTACATACATAGTTACATACATAGTTACATACATACATACATACATACATACATACAGACAGACAAACATACATACATACATACATACTTACTTACATGCATACACATATATATATATATGTGTACGTTATATATATATTACTCACAATAATTATATAATACATATATATAATATATATATATACATATACATTATATACAATAATTATATAACAATTATATAATACATATATATATACATTATATATATATACATATATATACATTATATACAATAATTGTGTAATTTCATATAATCCATTCCCCAGTTCAGTGCCGTTCATATTAAACAACCCCGTTCTATGGCCCCAAATACTTGTACTTTATATGCAATACAATATAATTCCCATACGAAACCATTGTTTGGGGGTGTTTAATATTGGGGGGGAGGGATCATAACCATTGTAGGGGTTATATCCCAACTTTTGACAGTTGTAGCCATGGTTCTACACATTCAAAATCTCAACTGCACCCCCCAAGTACTTCATACAATAGCGGGATAAAATCCGCATGGTTTCTTGTGGTAAGATGGGAACATGAGTGGATTTTGAAGCAGGAAAACGGTTGATGGTGTTTTTCGATGATTTATGATGCTTTATTGAAGTTTATTGGTTTGTTCCCCCTCAAAGCCTGAAATTGAATGATGATAAGCTAATGGATTACTCCAAGTACAGCAACCTCATGGTGTAATTTGGAGTCATTCAGTGATTTGACCAGAAAAAAAACGCGTACTGTATTCAGGATCACATATCGTATTCAGGGGTCTTTTATTGTGTATCTGTATATGGTACACTCCCTCATTCCTCTCAGTTGTGTTGTTTTCAACGTCAATCTGAATTGAGGTGAGCTATTGATCATTCATCAGAAGACCGACTTATGTCTTGATATGTGTTGATTCTCTCCGGTACTGAGGCAAGTACTACGTGGGCGGCAGGCCGCCAGATGTGGTGACATTTTGGTGTAGCTTGACACTACTGTACCGCTAAGCATGGGAAGATGTGTTTGGCAATACACTGGTGTGGCAGGACTTACTGTAGATTTGGATATACTAGTATGATCTAACAGGATGGTTCGAACTTCAAGTTTGTGTATTTGCTGAGCATTGGAGGCTGAAAAAAATACTTCAGCAACCCAGAAGAAATGAGGCGATGGCTCAGAGTAACGTTAATCCTCTAAGAATGACCAGTTCTGTGGGTCCCTTAGTCCCCCCATGTTTGACAGAAAAGCATAGAAAAGCCAGATATTAGATAACCAGAGACTTGGGGGAGTTGACCAAAAAGCACTTTGATTTTTGATTTGATTCACAATCTTTAACCATTCAACAGTTCAGTCTGTGGCTTCCAACATCTAAAACGCCTTTGGAACTTTGCACCGTGAGGATCCACGGTTTGACCTTGCCCAAGTTTGGATACACCACTCAGACTCCCGCAGAGGCGCACTCGTCCGTGGACGGACCGTATCTAGACCCTCCATGTGTCACCATAATTCCCCATAATTCCCCATAAAGATTTGAATTTTTAGCAATTTTCAACCCATAATGTTGGTTCTTCTACCAACTTTTTCATCTTTTAAGTTTTGATGGAGTAAAAGGGTCTAGGTAGCGTTTAGAATGTCTTAGACAGTAGAAATTGATCACAAGATATCACATTATAACAAATTTGGTGATCACTATCTCTCGGTGATGTTTTTCGTTGTACCCGTTGGGACTGCACCCCAAAATCGTTCGAAAGTGGTCATTCTGAATGGGAACACCCCATGTTTTGAAAGCCCTGAATCTTGGCAGACTGACCCGCTTGACAGATCGTGGGATGATTTCTGACATTTTGTAAAATAGATTGTAATGCCGGGATAATTGGGGCCGCATTCATTCCGTTCATTTCACTGAAGTTGCCCGATTTTAAACACATGAGGTGACTGGCTGGACTAAACATGTCATGCAAAGGATGGTGGCTAGTCTACTTCATACACATGGTGCGGAGAGCTTCAGGCTGCCTGCGCTAAATGATATACTCCAAAAAAAATACTCCGTAATCCAGAGAAAAATCATCGTTCCACAGTCATGACTATTGGTTGGTGATTATTCTTATTCTATACCCTCTGGTAATTTAACGTAGCTATTGAAAATGGCCATTAATAGTTGATTTTGGATTTTCCCATTAAAAATGGTGATGTTCCATAGCTATGTTAGTTTACCAGAGGGTATATACTTGATTAATCTTGATGATATTCCATGTCATTCAATTATTTTTTGTGGATCTCCCACATATTTCTTTTTCATCAGCTCCAGGTGCGATCGCAGCTGCCGGACGGCAAGCAGGTGGTCCTTAGCCTCAGTGGAACAGGTATTTGGCCACCAGTCATACTACTGTACCAGTTTAGTTACATTATATACCCTGTGGTAAACTAACATTATATTCCCCAAATGGCCTTAATTCAGGTTAGTGAATTATTATAATTTACCCAGATAATTGTATATATATATATAACTATGGAAAATCACCATTTTTAATGGATAAATCAACGAACTCAATGGCCATTTTCAATAGCTACGTTCAATTACCAGAGGGGATATAGAACCTCATCATAGCCCAATTCAGCAGGATTAAGTAATAAACCCAGTATAAACTTAAGTTCTCGGGGTGCAGAGCCAACAAAAATCAGCTAGAGTCTCCCGCAGACTCAAGCGGTTTTTTTGGTGTTTTAACCGCCCGATGTTTCCAGGTCGCTTTCCAGAACCGCAACCCTATCCACCGTGCTCACTTTGAGCTGTTGGTTTGCGTCTGGGACTCAGCAGACTCAGGATGGGACCACATTTGGATTTAGAGTCAGATTCCTATGAAGTCCTATGTTATTGTACTTATTGTACTTTATTTTGTTATGAATCAAACTAACATATCTAATTTGTTTTTGTTATGTATTTGCTGTTGAACAGAACATCACTGTTTGCTATGGGCAAGATTGCCAGGCCGGATTGAGGGAATCCTCTGAATAGCGTGCCAGTGTACCAGCGTATCAGTTATCAGCGTACAACCCTTGCAAGGTTGTAACTTTATCAGCTACTCAACGTATCAGCCTATCAGCGTCGAACCACGTCCGGACACGCATTGCCACAATTCTCGAATCGAGTATACCACCAGAACGGAGAACTTTTTTTGTCAATTCACTTGAATGTATGATGAAATACAGCAAACAAAACGCATCTGCAAAACAAAATACTAAACTCTTACGGAGCTTGTCATTATATACACTATATATATATAATGCCAACACCGGATTAATAACCCCCCCCCAGAAGGTCAGAACTCTACCTTGTAGGTCCCCCCCTTAAGCACCCCTTAATAAACGGCCTCTGGATATGGCTTACGTCAATTGGCTGAAAGCTATGGGGGACATTGGGAATGAATAGGCAAATCCAAAGAAAAAACATTAGGGACATGGTGGTTGATTAATCAGGGGCAAACCCTGATTATTATTAATGGGGGACATGGGCTCATGGGGGGTACCCTTTGGGAGCTATCCAAACTGATTTTTATAGAGAATTTGATTAGAAATCGACCATTTGGGGAATAGTTGTTTTTTGAAATTTTCAATGATCAACTTAAACCTTAAGTATAACAATGATGATAAAAAAAAGGTAAACAACAATTGGAAATAAATAGAATTGGGAATAAAAATTGCTGGATAAAAAAATGGATTTCAGCACAGGGGGTTGATTAATCGGGGGTAGGCCAAAGTGTTTATTAATCCGGGGGGACCACCTGTTTTTAAATTACATTTTTTTTGGGGTGCAGTGGAGGTTGATTAATCGGGAGGGGTTGATTAATCCTGACTTCACATTAAATACAATATGTATATATGATTGTGTCCATTCATTGTGTCCTCGTTTCTAGAGCAGTCCCTGAGGCTCAGAAGGATGTCAAAGACTCCATCCTGCTGGGGAGCTGAGTCATTCGATCTTCTGGTGTAGCATAGGTGGTTCCTGTTCACCCCTCTGCGTGTGTCATTTCTTGAAGAATATCAACATAAATATACAAAGATATTATATTATTATATACTCATATCATACATGTACTTAAATGCATACTCATATACTGTATGTATATTCATATATGTATATTTATATGGACTTATATATGATCATATATGTATACATATACTCAATTTCGATGTATGAATATGAATGTTGACATTCACATTCATGACCACTGCGCGACACATCCCAAGGCTCTCAAGAGCACTCCTTAACTTTCCATGAGACTTCCAACAGTCCAAGGGTCAATCCTGTGAAGGAAACCTTAGCAGGAAACCATTCTTTTTGCGTTCATCCAACCATTGAACAACTGGAAAATCCGTTCGACAATTCCCCATTCACTGGGCTACTGACTTTGTACAGTTTATGGTCAGTTTTTGGCCGCTGTGTTCCTCAATGCGAACCCAGTATACTATTCCCGTAGTTACTTAAACACCAGTTTATTGAAGTGCATCTTCCGTTCAACGTTTCCCATTCACCATTGGGCGGCCTATCGATCATCGCCTGCTTCGAGGTTGGTGCACCCTACCTGTGGCCCCACTCAGCCGGGCGATATCGACGGCTTGGTTCGTATCCAGACCTACGAGGTACGTCAGCCTCGCCACAACCCCGGTGCGGTCGTGAAATGATGGGAGAAACGATGACGAAAACGTGATATGAATGTTGTTAGTTAGGTTTGACTATCAATAGTGGGATAGTAGTGGGGTTTTATATGGGCTTAGAAGTTATGCGGATTGAACTGGCAAGAATTGGGTTATAATTGTCAACAATGGGTATTTATATTCTTTTTAATGGTGATTGATTTGACTATCATTGTATGGGATACTGTATCAAATGAGATAATCTGGGATATGAGACAATTACATACAATTACATGATATTTGGGTTTGTCTATAGGGGAGATCCCCAAACTGTCTGAATTTCGGTCGGGGAAAATGATGGATCAACTCTGTCAGCCTGTCACCATGAATGAAACACCACAGATTTCTGACAGACATTAGGGACAGTGGTGATGTGAAAATTGGACAATCGGAAAATCCATGACCATCATCTCAAAGTCTCAAGAGAGGACATTATATTTTGAACATTCGACATTTCCAAAATGGTGATATTTTAGGCATTTTTTCATGGCTTATTTATGATATATATCTACTGTATATATGATGCTATCTGCGCCACTGATCTGCGGCACGACGGAAATTTCTGCGCCAAGGAGTTCACTGATCTGCTTCAATATTTTCTGATGAGTTCATATATGTATCTATAAATATATACATTTATAATCATATATACACACAGGACTAAAGCTATTATAAGCAATCAATCCCTATGTTTGGCTGCATCTTTTAATATCCCATTTAGGAACCACGCTTTTTTTTTTGCGCGTCGCAGGCTCTGAAGGAGGAGACTAAGCAGGAGTTCCCCATGTTCAGATGGGCCTACCTGTCGGGTGGCCCCGTCATGGAGACAGATCCAATAGTGATTAATAGCGATTAATAGTGAATAATAATGGTTAGTAGTGATTAATAGTGAATAATAGTGATTCATAGTGAATAATAGTGAATAATAACGGTAAGTCGTGATTAATACTAGGGATTAATAGTGATACAATGGGTAAACCAATAATAAACCACCCATTTGGGAATGGTTTATAGCACCCATGTATGGTGATTTGGTGGATGGTTTATTGTTGTTTTACCCCACTTTGGGTGGATACCATCTTGAAAGATCTTGAAAACCAAAAAGCAGTGACAAACATGACATCACCATACACCCAGCATGAACAAAGATCAACAACGGTTTTCACACACAATGAACACATGGACCCAACATATTTTTCTTGGTTTGTTCATGTTTGTTCCATGATATTTTCTTTCGGAGACCATGACCAGGAGTGACTGGTGGTATGTCAATATCAGCATCTCCAGCCATGTTTGTTCGTTACATCAGACTCATGTTGGCAAATCATTGGTTTTGATCCCCACGAATTTCGGCTTCCACGTGTTGCCACGTGTGACTGCTCTGGACGCCCAGCAGCCTCATTTGAGGCCTTACAGCATGAAGATGGATTGGACCCCAGGGGAATGTGGGTGGCAACTTGTGCCAACCAGTGGTGGGACGGTGCTGGTACTGGCTCCAGGACGGGATTTAACCCCTAACTCCATTGCGGGTGGAGCTCCATGTCTAATTGGGGCTTTCTTTAAAATGGGGGATCCCCAAGTCACCATGGGTTTCAATTCTAAATTGATCCAGCCTCTGGTTACTTAACATAGCCATGGAAAGTCACCATTTTTAAATATTTTTAATAGGTAAACCATCTATAAATGGGCCATTTTCCATGGCTATGTTAAAGAACCAGATGGTAATTTTGGATGATTTGGGGCACACCCCGATTTGAAGCTCCAGTTGCGACTTGGCCTTGCGGTATGGATGTCATTTTGGGGGAAGCATTGCAGGGTCAAATACCGATCTTATCCTCTCTTTATGGAGGGTATATACTCCATATTACTCCATGTATGGTATATTTACCTACATTTGGGTGATTTTTAGGGCAAATGTTGGTAAATATTCCATACATGGAGCATCTGGGGAGGGTATATAGGTCAACCCCCAGGACATGCGAGCATCCCCAGCTGCCAAACTCCATCATTTCCCCCGTCCATTTTCTGCGAGGCGGGTCCTCGTGAAGCCATTCAGCACATGATCATCCGAAAGCCGGGGGCCCATTGGGACCCGGAGGCCAAAACTCTGAGCAGTGATTTTGGGCGGCTCAATGGATTTTAGGTTCATGTGCTGGTGAATTGTTGAAGAGTGGACTAAGCCTGCTTAGGGAGGGTTGTCACCTACGAAGTGGGATGAACCACCGATCCAGCCATTTGGCGATGTGGAAATGATCCGCAGAATGGACAGCAGCCGTGGGGTGGTTTGCTGGTTCTATAGACTTGGGATTTGAATCTAGTGTGAAACGTGTTTCAGCGTCAAAGGAGCAGTTTGGCCAATGAAGTTTAGGTGAACCCAACTTCGAAGACTGTGGTGTGATGTTCTCAGCACCCCAAAATCCCAACCAAAACCATGTCATTTTGAGTGAATTGGGATCGTCCCTGAGTCCATATTCAACCATCAGGCTATTGAGGGTAGACTTTATCCCATCCGAACACATAAACATCATCTTTTTGGTGGTTTGGAACATTTTTTATTTTCCATTTCATATATGGGATAATCCTTCCCATTGACGAACTCATATTTTTCAAGATGGTTAAAACCACCAACCAGCGTAAACATCATGGTAAATAGTATCATGTAGCAGCGAAAATGTCCCACCAGTGGTGCTAAAAACCATCCCGCATTGGGGGTTGCAGGAACTATGGCGCCACTCACTTCATCATCGGCCGTGACATGGCAGGCAGAACACGGGGGGGTTAACGCTTTTTCACTCAGAAACCACGAGATTGAACCAATGAACAGGGGTGCTAAAACCACCAAAACTTGAGGTTTAGCCCCCCCAAATGTGGCTGAAACTTACACACATTTGATTTATCCAGCAAACATAGGGATTTGATCAACAAACATGGGGATTGAGCAAACAACCAGAAAGAATTGTGAGTTTCGCGGCAACAATCACTTAACCAGCAGGAATATGGATTCTACATGGTTGTACAAGGCTGATGATTTCACAAACCCAAATGGCGATCTATGGGGAATCTGTGTTGGAAGTGGACTACTTCTGAGCAAATCCGATATGACGAAACACTAGGGACTACTATCGAACAGAGCATGAGCTGAGAAGTATGGCTTGTGACTGTCAGCTGTTTCCACCAAACAAAACAGCAGGTTGTGTCCGCGGAATAATACATACACCCTCCGGTAATCAATCGACCATTTATAGGGGTTTGCCATGATTCACATGAGACGGTGTACATATAAATCTAAGTACACATACACATATACATATATATATATATATATTATGTGTACATGTATATGTATATGTATATACATATATATATATATTATGTGTACATGTATATGTATATGTATATGTATATGTATATGTATATGTATACATATGCATATGCATATGCATATGTATACATATGCATATGCATATACATATACATATCAATGGCATAGACCCATTAAATGATGCAAGTGTCTGGGGTAAAAAAAACAAAACGTGCCAGGCACCAAGAGCACCATCGATGGCGAGGATTTCTATGGCCCATACGACGCTCAGGAGAAGTTGAGAGTGGGGAAAGGCTGAAATCTGGAGATTCCTCAAGGCATGTATGGACTTATAAAAGTGGGACCCATAAAATTCCGCGGATTTCTGGAGTTTTCCGGAATCCTGAAACTTCGAAAAGCCTTGATGGGACTTGTGGTTCTTGTTTTGTCATTGCTGGGTCGCTAGACCCATTTGCGCCTGGCATGCTCAAAAGTTATAAAAGGGCCATCAAGTCATGGTCCATCATCAATGCGGGTTCATTGTTTGATGTTCAGTTACTGTACCCTCTGGTAATCAAACATGCACATGGGAATCCACCATTTATATATAGATTAGTTTACAGTTGAAACATCAATTTATCTGGGATGTTCTATTGCTATGTTTGATTGCCGAAGGGCATTATTTTGGACCAAACACCCGTGAGTTGTTCCACCTGCCAGCAGTTGTTGCTGTTTTGTAAAGTATTTGGAAGACATTCCAAACATAGGGAATCACCATCACCGCCATCACCGCCATCACCGCCATCACCATCACCATCATCATCATCATCATCATCATCACCATCATTACCATTATCAGATTATCATCACCACCATCACTATCGTCATCATAATACGACTAATCACAATCATCACCTTCAGCATCACCATTACTCGTGATCAAAATCGGAGATCCAATCGCTGACAGCGAGGACCTGTAGGCCATCCCTGGCAAAAAATGTTAAACGAAAGCAAACACATGCAGATACAGCTCAGAGAATGTCAACATGTCCAAACGATAATCATGAACCATTCACAATATGACTTAAGCATCATATGATTAATCATGCATTCATGATATTACTATTTACTAGTATTGTTCTCAATTCCATGTTGTTTTAGTTTTTACAGTTATTACTATTACTATCCAACAAATCATCATATTACTATATCACTAAACTAGTAATATATCATATAGACGATTATACAGTAATTACCAATAGACAGTAAGACTAAACTAGCTATCTATATATCATCATTATAACTATTACCAGTCTTAATATCATCATATTATCAGGAGAACTGTCTATTACTATTAAAACTATTACTATTCCTATTACTTTTACTATTACCCATTAATAGTATCATTATATCACTATGATCACTATATCTATTGCTGGTGAACCATTATTATATCACTATATATTATATCACTGGATATCAATACTATATCTATCACTATATATTATATCACTATTATTCCCTTTCTATGGTGAACGTCCACTGGTTTTCCAGGAGACCGGCAAGAAGTACTCCGCCGAGCTGGGGGTGACGGTGACCCACTACGAGAACATGGTGGGACGGCGGAGGGACCGAGGATACGATGATCAGCAAAGATTGGGTAAAGCAAGAAGCACGGGAATTTACCGGCGCATGTTGGATGATCCAAGGGATGCGTTTGGATGACATTGTTCTTGAAATTGGTTGATATACAGATATAGAATATAGATGCAGACAGATCGATGCCCAAATTCCATAGGTGTATGAAGGATAAACATGTTAGTTGACGATATGATATACGATGAAGATCAGGACATCTTCCAGCTCAATTTGACTAGATGATCGAGGAAAGGGAGTTGATGGGTATCGGAGGATGGTGACCCACGGCCTCCATTAACTACGTGTTGGGTTGCCAAAGACACAGGTTTTTTTAAAAGAATCCGGTATGGTATGTTACCCTCTGGTTATTTAACATAGCCATGGAAAATCACCATTTCTAATATATAGGTAAACCATCTATTTCTATGGGCCATCTATAGCATGGCTATGTTAGTTATAACCAGAGGGCATATTTTTTTCCCACCGAGTTGTTTGGTGATGGGAAATTACAGGCTTCGATGACGGGATATGATACCAGAACTTGTCCATCCTTTTGAGCCGAAGGATGGTCGGGAAAATGATGCTGGATCATCGACGAATAAATATCAAGGAATTTAACATGACCCATGACGGATCCATGGTGCGATATATATAATATATATAATATATAATATATATAATATATATATATAATATATATACAATATATATATAATATATATATATAATATATAATATATATATATATGGTAACATGGATCCCATCAATATACCCCAGTCATGTTAGCATATATACCAGCACCAGGGATCCTATGGGTGATGTTTTCACATGCTTTTAGCATGATTTCACCAACAAAAAATGGCAGTATTGGCCATGGCCTCCAGGTGTACGTGGGACCTGATGAGGGCTATGTTCAGGAGCAGGGTGACAGGGCTATGAATAGTGCCTCCCCTAAGATGGAACCAATATGGGAGCCCAACAATGGCAGTTTCATGCAGTTTTCACTTTTTCCAAGCCATTCCAAGCATTCCAACGCTAGTTTCTAGTTGATTTCTGGGATTTCCATGCATTCCATGGCTATGTTAAATAACCAGAGGGTAACATACCATTCCGGATTCATTTCTAGCTATAGTTTCTAATGGTTTGTGTGTGTTTTGGGAGGTGTATCTAGTGATCCACCGGAAGCCTCAGATCGCAGATCAGCAGTCTGCTATGAAACAAACTGCCTCGTCTGCCAGCTGTCTCCAACGCAAGTGTGCGAGATATGGCTATGACTCAAGAATGGGTAACCAATGGAACCACAATTTATGGGTCGTTTTTGACCATTTTTGACATCAACCATCCAAAATAATCCAAAATAGAGAATGTATAAGTGAACATTGAGCCATTCGCAGAGTTTGTATCAGGTCATCTTCACCATCTTCAGGAGATAAGATGCAAATTGTTTCATTGAGTAGAGATGAGCCCAGCAGCACCACTTTCCAAAGGGGGTAGGCACCATCCATCCTGGGGTTCACAATCCCCGCAGCCATGGGCAAGCTGTGGGAAGTCATTGGGGGAGCTGACAAGGGAGGAATCCTGGTGCGTCGAGGTGACGTTGGTGACACGGGTGACGGGTGAAGGTTGGCTTCATCGTTTCTGGATTTGGGGGAGAAAAAATCAGAACAAGCAAAACTCTGTAGTTCTATGTACCCTCTGGTAAACTAACATAACTATGGAAAATCACCATTTTCAATGGGAAAATCCACTATAAATGGCCATTTTCAATAGCTATGTTAAATTACCAGAGGGTAGTTCTTGTTGAAGCCCACTTGGGGGGTCAAGTGGGGCGATGGAGCCACGGGTTACTCTCCTGGTGCCATGTTGTTACCATAATTAATTAGCAACAACTCGCTCATCCCTGCCCTGGAGGTGGCTTCAATGAACCAGCCAGAAACCATCCAGGATTTCACTGAAAAAAACAGTATCCAGTATCCCAAAATCTCATGTGAAAGCCCATGAAGAAATGCCATGAATTGGCTTGACCATCCCCGATTGAAAAACCTCGTTGGATGCTGGACCTGAATCCTGCAGGTTGCGAGCTGTCCTCCCCTGCAGAAGATGAGCGGCTCTCCACAGGTCCCGTTTTAGAAGTTCACACCTCGGGAGCACAGGGTATTGGGGAGAAGGTTTCCGGTGAAAGCAAAGATGGACGCCCCAAAGACAACACAAGGGGTCGGAAGATGTCGGAAGTCGGAGGTTGCCATTTGAGTTTCACGGTTATATGTGATATCATGTCACGTCCATGATCCTGGTGATTTCAACTTTCCTCAAGGTCATGATCATTGTGATACCTTAACAGAGCTTGGATAAGCCAACCAGTTCTCTGATTTTGTGAATGGATCTAGAGGGGTGATCATAGCTGCATCATAGCTACAGCTGTAGATCTTATATATGATCTCATACCCTCTGGTTTGCACTCCAGGCAGATGTTGAAGGCGGTACCGGTGGTATAAAATAGAGCTGCTCCCTTGTAGAAAACATTCAGGTGAGGAGGCGGTACCTTTAGCGTTTAGTATGCGTTTTACAGACATTGGATTAAGCATGCCAGACCTTGGATCATCTATAACGCTAGCGTTAGGTCGTATCAGCTCGTAAAAGTCGTATTGGGAGGCCCTGCGCCTGGAAAAAGTTCCGGAACACGCGTTTTGCGTTCTGCGTTTTGGCCGTGCTAAAGCTGCTAAGGTCTGAAGCATCAGTAGAAGCCAGCATTCCATGGGAACGGTGAATCATCAACCAAATATGTTTAAGTAGTTTGGGTGCCGGCGTTCCATTGGAAAGAGGCTTCTGGAAATGAGCGTTTTCACGTCAAACCGTAAGCGTTTCCATGCGTTTCCAGTGGGTTTCATAGTCCAGGTCCTGCCTTTTCTGACTTAGCCGTGACCACGGCGTTCCATGCAGGAACACATATTCTAGCACCACCGGTCCTGCCTTCAACGTTCACCTGTAACAGTTTGCGAAGTTGGCAAATCATCAAGTTCATATCACAGTTCGGTAAATCATCATGAAAATAGGCCATGGCTTCAATAGCAAACTGTTAGTTTACTGGAGGGGAACATGAATTTTGGAGTGGAACCAGTGGAAGCCCGGCAGTTGGCGCCGGCTCAGGCGCCTTCTTGTTGGAACAGGAGATCTTGGGTGAACGCTTGAGATATCTTCGGCTGCAGCTGGGATCAATCAGGGACACCATGATTCATGCAGCTGAAATAAATCAAATTGAAATCCCATTAAAATCCCATGACATTCCATGACCTGCTATGAAATCCCATGAAATCAGCAAAGACTGTCCAAGGATGTCCAAGGTGTCTTCTGAAAAGCCTTATAATTTATATAGTAACTTATATATATATAATTATATATATATATTACATAACTCTTATATACAACTATATATTTATGCTCCTGGCAGAAATCATCTATACACAATTACTCTTGAAGGATTTCCTCCGCTTCGACATGTTCCACGGTGGGTGCTGGGAGATGCACCGGTGTTTGGCGGTGAAATCTACTATGTTTGCACCACGAATTCATCTACCATGCATGTACAATTTTAAGATAATTCCGATTTTGTTCACGACAGTCAATTTGTCATGAAATTTTACGAACGTTTCTCATCCAGTCTTGGGGAGGGGGATGTGGGATCTGAGGTCCGGTACTGGGCCTCCTACAGGATGGGTCAGCTTGCGAGTGAAGGACAGTTGGGAACCCTAAGATCGGAGCATCATGTTTGCGCACCTTGGGCCCAAATCTACATTGTTCAACATGCCATTCAATTAAAATCCGAACTCAAGAATCATGTTTGTCATTTTATATTCATGAATCCCAGGTATAAACAATCATCAATGGCAGATTTTGTCACAGACCCTATCTCCAATCCACCGGATAGGTTGACACGGAAGATGCACCTGTAACTGACCCTGCCACCGCAAGGAGAAGCCGATGCTTCAAGCGAGGCATCTGGAGATCGTTCTTGGAGTCCGGTGGAGTGCCGAGCAGCAAATCGATGGATATTCCATTTGTTTGGCCGGTTGACACATGGGTCATGTGCACAAAAGGGGCATACAAAGTTAAATGAATGCTGGTTGGTGGTTTAAAACATTTTTTATTTTTCCACATATTGGGAATAATCATCCCAACTGACTAATATTTTTCAGAGGGGTTGAAACCACCAACCAAATATAAATACATATTGTCGGATATAACCAACTTCAAATGGGGATTTCACCACCAAACATGATCAAACATGATCAAGCATGAAGATTTAACTATCAATGAAATGGGAACATCATTGGGATAATGTGGTATACATGGGATATGATGTAATCAACAATGTGATACTTGGATGTGTCTGAAAATAGGGTCTACTGTATAACGGTATACCGCCAACACACGACGGCATTTTCTGGGAATATGAAGAAATTATCCACAAGATGGAAGGGGGCACCCTATCAGAGAAATTTGTATCACTGGTTGGTGGTTTGGAACATTTTTATTTTCCCCAATAGCTGGGATGATGATCCAATCTGACTTTCAAATTTTTCAGAGGGATTGAAACCACCAACTAGATCAAATTGGTATCAACGAAGTTCATGCTGTTTGGGTGGGGCTTGTCTGACCTATTTAATGTTGGGACAAATGACCTTCACGAGAATATTCGTCTTGCAATGCCACTTGCCTCCCAGACCCGGTTTACAACAGAATTTTGCAGGACACATGCAGATTGGGCTGTAAATCTGCAATGGTTTAAATGTATCTTCTGACAAAGCCGCTCCGTTGAATGTCATATTATGTCATATTACTATAGTTAAATTTCATGTGTTTTTCTGGTCAGATCAGCGGCTTCTTGATGTTTAGATCCCCATTTAATTTGTGAGTCAAAGTGTAGATTCCCCCCTATAGTTTTTAAGCATTGTATTCACTATACATCATCAGTTCAAGACGATCGAACCATGTGAAACTAACCAAACCCCCAGCAACCCCCATCAAATCCCGTAAAGACTCAATGAATCTCAATGACCATTAAACAAATCCATTAAAACATATTAAA